AAAAAAAAAAAAAAATTAGTACAACTAGGGGTTAGAGAAATGGCTCAGCAGTTAAGAGGTTAAGAGGACCAGGGTTCGATTCCCAGCACCCACATGGCAGCTAACAACCACAGGCAACTTCAGTTCCAGGGGAATCTGACACCCTCTTCTGACCTTTGAGGGCACTGCACTTACATACATGCAGCAATATACTCATACACATAAAATAAAAATACATAAAATGTTTTTAAAAAAAAGAATTAGCAGAACTGTTAAGAGGTTAAGAGGACCAGGGTTCGATTCCCAGCACCCACATGGCAGCTAACAACCACAGGCAACTTCAGTTCCAGGGGAATCTGACACCCTCTTCTGACCTTTGAGGGCACTGCACTTACATACATGCAGCAATATACTCATACACATAAAATAAAAATACATAAAATGTTTTTAAAAAAAAGAATTAGCAGAACTGATGCAAAAAAGGCAAGAAAGGAAGGAGTCCAAGGAAAAGACTTGTCTCCCATTTCACCCGGGGCTGCTCCAAGTATTCCTCAACCGTGTGCTGAGAGCCTGACACTGAGCAGTCATTCATGAGCACCACAGCCAGAGAACTCAGCCTAGCCCACACACCCACCTACCCCGCACACTGACAGCTCTCATCTGACATGTATGGACCATTGATCCCTGTTCTAAACAGTCCCACCAGAGTGAACATTCAACCCCAAGATGAAGAGTTTCAAAGCATAAGTAGGGACTCACCTAGCCAGGGCAACTCTCATCCTCCAGCCCCCACTGAAGTCTTTCAGCTTCTTGCGTTGCATGGCAGGTGTGAAACCCAGTCCATGTAAGATTCGAGAGGCCCTCATTTCAGCCTTGTCGGCATCCAGCTCCTCCAGTCGTTCGTAGAGTTCCATGAGCTTCTCACACTCCGCTGTGGGCAGGACATGGCCATCAGGTTCCCTGAGGTTTCCCAGGAGGAAGCCGCCCTATCCCAGGGTATGGAGCCATACCATCCTCATGAGCCAAACGCTCAGCCTCCCTCTCCAGCATGGCCCGCTCTGTGTCCACTTCCATCACACACTGCAAGGGTGTCTTGTCACTAGGTGGCATTTCACGAGTCAGATGGTAGATGTCAATGTGCTCGGGAATGGGCACTTCACGTTTCCCGATAGCAGAGAGCAGCATGGACTTTCCTAAGAGGGAGAGAGGCCGGCATTCAGCCATTTCCCCATGTTCCTCACCAACTGTTCTTTACAGGAAAACCAGGACCACACCACTCTTAAGCACCTTCGTTCCTGTCATTCCTTCAAATCCCACTTTCCTCTCTATTCTTGATGCCCTTTCCAATTCCCTCCGAGTCTTACCTCACGGCTCCTCTGTGAGGTCCTTTTATTTACTCTGGCATCATACACACTGCCCACATTCCCCCGACCAGCTTCTCTAGCACCCACTGTCAACAACTACTCCTGTGGTACTCACCACATGCTGCTCTGTACCAGTTCCTCCACCCTAGGCATATCCCACTCAGAGTGTCAACTTCTTGCTTTGTTAGTGCTAAATATTTGTTGAGTGGCAGATGAGCCAAGGAAGAGAAACCTCCCACCTCGCCTTCTAAGAGCCTCACCAATTCCATTTAAGCCAATAAGGCCATAACGACGGCCTGAGTTTAATTCCAGTTTGGTGTCACTGAGCAGCTCTTGACCATGAAAGGTGAGTGAGAGGTTGATAATGTGGACGTCAGTGCTGTTGGGGTGAGAGGCCAGAACGCCAGTTACAGCTCGAGCAGCAGCTTTCTTCATCTCAAAGTCCTCTAGCTCCTTGGTCAGCAAATCCACTTCTGGGAATAGAAAAGCAGTTTGGGAAGGGGCTTCAGACACTCAGCTGTCAAACAGGCCAATCCTACAGGACTTGAGCTCCACGTCATGGTGCTCACACTCCAAAGTGTTGGAACTTTATATCGAATGTACACTGACCTTCCACCCTGCTTTCATGGGCAGCTTCTCTTCTGGATTCTAACCTCCCTGGTCCTCGTCTTTCCCTCCTCATTCTCTTCCACCATGCTCACCTTACCACCCTCCACCACTCTAGGCAGGAATAGAACTTCTGCAAGGTCTAGCTTGATCAGAGCAACTTTCTTCTTCTGGAGACAATTCCTGCCACCTAACTCTGTCCAAAAATTTTTAACTCCCCTTTTCTGTATTCCTAGTCCTGTTAAGATGTACTGCTTTTCTTTAACATTTAGTGTTTATCTGTGATGTACACAGCTCTCTCAAAGTATTATTCAAAACAGCGCCCCCCAAATCAGGAGAATTTAGATCCCAAAAATAGATGTAACATAAAAGGTAACAGTTGCAAAACAGTAGCAAGTTCAATGAATGGGAATACAACTGAGACCAAGTTTCATCAGAAGGCTTTGCTACCTTGAGTTGGTCTTTGCCAGAAATGTCAAACACAGCTTCACAAACACTACAGGATTAGAAGTTAATGTGTGAAAGGGCAAAAAAACAAACAAACAAACAAACAAAAAAAAAACCAAACTATTCAAGGGACAATGAATGGTCTGGATGAAGCAGAAGGACCATGTGGAGAGTTTTCAGGGGCAGTGAAGAGACCAGGACTAGACCCCCATAGCTCATTGCAGCTGTTAACTTGACATCCTAGTCACCTGGGAAGAGGGTGCCTCAACTGAAGAATGTCCCAGATCAGCTTGGCCTGTAGCCATGTCTATGAGGCATTTTCTTAATTGCTAATCAATGTGGGAAGGCTCAGCCCACTGTGGGAGGTGCCATCCCTAGCCAGGTGGGACTGGTATAAGAGAGCTACCTGAGCGACCTAGTAAGCCTCATTCCTCCTGGGTTCCCACCTGAGTTCTCTCACAGATGGACTGTGACTTGAAGTACAAAATGAAATAAACCTTTCCTTCTCCCAAGTTGGTTTTGGTCAGAGTGTTTTATCATAGCAACAAAGAAAACAAATCAGAACACACCCCTAGAATGTAAATTTTTAAGAGAGCCGATCATTTATAGCACCTCAGTGAGTAGCACCAGGTCTAGCATCTAAGCATGCTCAATAAATAACTCCCCAAACAACAGAAACACAAGAATTTCTCAGGAAAATTCCATAAAACAGTAACAATAGTGATTCTCACTATCCCTGTGACAGTACCATATGTTTAGGAGTTTGATGTATTCACCACTGAGGAGGAATGGAAACAGAAAATGGTAGGAAAGGCAGATCAACAGCGTTCATCTGTATTTGCCACTTGTGTTCACAAATTCCACCTCTATGGGTTTGGCTGTCATAAAAAGTTTCATGGTGTGTGTGTGTGTGTGTGTGTGTGTGCGTGCGTGTGCGGTATTAGCTTTTTTAGCTTGTTTTGAGACAAGCTATGCAGCTAGGCTAGCATCAAACGCTCCATCCTTCAGCATCAGCCTCCTGAATGCTGGGATTAACAGACCTAAATACCCAGGACTGGCTACATACATTCTTCACTACCCCAGCATGCAGATTCTGATTCTGGCCGAGGCATGCATTAAGGAATTAGCAACCAACTGAGGAACTCAGTGCCCCCCCCCCCAATCACCTGTGGTCTCTCGGCCATTGGCCTCATTTTTCTCCTCCGCCACCTGCGGTTCGGTGATAGCTTCTCCGTTTTCCTCATGTCCCTTTCTGGGCCGCTGTCGGGCTTTGGCAGCTTCCTTCTTTTTGGCTGCCTTTTTCTTGGCCAAGTCGGAGGGCATGGTGATGGATCCCAGGTGTTGGTTACCGTTCTTTCAGGGAATCTGAAGGAATGCAAACAGATTCTCCAGCATTCTAAACGTCCTGGTAAAGAATGCCCAAGCCGGGTTCCATCCCTGCTTGGAATTTCCCGTCCTCGCCTAGCCTCCCCCAACTTTGTCCGGGTCTTGACGCCTCCTGGTCGGCCTCACTCGCGTGCGCAGCCTCCTGAGAGCACAGGTCTGCCCCATCTCCAGTTTCCCAACTTGGCGCTCGCGCACCTCGGCCGGCCGCCTGGCTTCCCGGGTCTCGGGCTGGCGAAGGTCCCGGGCTCCTCTCCGTCGTCTCCTTCTACCCGGCCCCCCGCAGCAGAGCTCCTCCCGGGGCCACTCGTCCTGTCCGGCGGGTCCCCCCGGTCTGCACCCCGCTGTCCCTAGCCTTCCCCACGCCCCGCCCGCCCGCGGCGCTCCCGGGACCCGTGCCTCTTCCGCTCGGCCCTTCCCATCCCGACTCTGCCTTTCTCTCCTCCGGCCGCCGGCTCCCGGGTCCGCACCTTCTTCCCTTCCCGTGCCCCTTCCCCCCCAACTCACGGGGCCTCGCCGCTCGGCCTCTGTCGCAACAGAGTTGCTCCTTGAGCGCCTCCGCGTGCGGCCGGCTCGCCAGCCAATCACGGCCTCGGGCGGCCCTTGGCGCGCTGCCTCCAGGGATCTTGGGAAATGTAGTCCGTGAATCGTGGCGACTTAGGGTGGGACGCGCTTCGAGAACTACCACGAACCGCAGGCGTTTCGCGGGTCTTCTGACGTCATCAGAAAGCGCGTGGCTGCTGTTGAGAGGAGAAACTACAGTGCCAGAGTCGTGCGCCCGCTAGTCTGTTTGAAGCTCTGGAAACTGCAAATCCCAGACTGCTTCTCGTACAGGCGGGCTGGCCTTCCAGACCTTACCCCACCTCTCTCAGTTTACAACAGTGCAGGGCTCCCGAACCGGGTTAACCAGCAGGACGTGAGACTACACTTCCCAGCATGCACCCTGAGAGGATCGGTGGAAACAATGGGAGGAGGAGGAAAAGTGCTGTGGAAAGTGGAGCCTCACTGCAGACCTTGCCAGCTGAGCTCGGCACCAGCCAGGCGTCCTCGTGTCCAGGAAATTGTAGAGGCCGGTGCATGGTGCATAGGTAATCAGACGCTAATTAGAAGGTGCCTGACGGAGTCTTAGCCAAGAGTTGCTAGGTTCCATCAGAGCCTTTTGAGTTTGGTGGGAAGAACCTCAAGTTAAAGTTCCACTTTGCTGAGTTTATCAGCACTTAGCTGTGACCTGTCCTGTTACTGTTTAAAACCTAACAGACTTCCGCATTGGATACATTGTAAACAAGGAGGATCCTTGTTACCTCTTTAGGTTCCTGTCCACTGGAGTCTCACTATCCATGACACTGGAGGAAGCAAAAAGTAAAAATCCCTCTTCCCCACGGTCACCATGTTCCGTACTTAGTTATAAGTTAGGCTTGAAGGTCATTGATTGACCTCACGAGCAACTTCTCTGTCTCTTTTAGCACACTAACTTTTAGAGGAAACCATCACCGTTGTCCAAGATTTAAAAGGGTCTTTAAAGATTAGAAAAGGGAGGAAGGTGGAGGTAGCAGGGCTTTGTCGAGGCATTAAGGGAAGGCGATTTTGCCCTAGTAAAGCCTGGCTATTTTTTTGTTTTTCTCCTTAATTCTTTTAAAATCTACTCTGTTACATTATTTGTAGTTTTTAAAAGTGGGATCTGACTTGTTTCTCCAGCCCTGGAGACACTGAACTGTAAGGAAGGTTATAAAATAGAGTACTGTCTAAGCAGGAGGCTTTCTGGTACAAAAATGTACTATTGTCCCTTTCCTTAAAAGTTAATCCAGGCCGACTGCTCTTGTAGAGGACCCAGGTTGAGTTCCCAGCACCCACATAGGGCAACTCACAACTGCCTGCAATTCTAGTTCCAGGGGCGCCGGCACCTAGACACATGTGGTATACATACTGACAGGCATGCATACATACACATTAAAGAATAGATCTTTTTTTAAAAAAGAGTTAATCCTGGGGCTGGAGAGATGGCTCAGCGGTTAAGAACACTGGTTGTTCTTGCTTAAGACTCGGGTACAAATCCCAGCACCTATGTGGTAGCTAACAACTGTCTGTAACTCCAGTTCCAGGGACTCCGACAGCCTCTTCTGTCCTCTCAGGCATTGCATGACATGGGTGCACTTACCTATATGCAGGCAATACACTCATACACATAAAATAAAAATAATAAATAAAATATTTTTTTTTTTAAAAGTTAATCCAAATGGGCCTGTCAAATCACCTGGATAGAAAAATGCCCCCACGCCAGTTGTCTTGTTCCAGAAACTTTAAGAAATAGAATAAGAGAGCTGGAGATGACTCAGCAGTTAAGAGCACTGGCTGCTCTTGCAGAGGACCCCGGTTTGGTTCCCAGCATCCATATGGTGGGTAACAGCCGTCTGTAACTCTGGTTCTGGGGCTCCAATGCCCTCTTCTGACCTTTGTGGATATTGCACAACTCAGGTTCTCATGCATACATCCAGACAATACACTCATACACATAAAACAAAAATAATATTTTTTAAAAAAAGAAATAGTGTAGAGGCTGGAGAGATGGCTCAGCGGTTAAGAGGACTGACTGCTCTTGCAGAGAACTGGGGTTCGATTCCCAGACCCCACATGACGGCTATGAACCATCCTTAACTCCAGTTCCAGGGGAATCCGAAGGCCTCTTCTGACCTCTGTAGCATTGCACTACACGGGTGCACTCACGTATGTTCAGGCAATTCACTCATATACATAAAATAAAAATAATAAATAAAATATGAAAAAAAGAAATAGTGTAAAACCTACCTAAATGCATAAGTTGGCACAATGGTCTGTTTAGCCATTGTCCAGTCACCTCCAATAGAGATGTTTTCATCCAGTGTTACCTTTGGAGCCATTGCTCACTCTTACCTTTGAGGTCACCTTGTGTTACTCTGCAGTAAACTCTGCCTGTCTTCTGCATTGTTCTCTGTCTCATCTGAATTCATCCAACAGAGATCACAATGACTGGGGAGCCAAGGGGAAGTCAGAGCAAGACCCCAAGAACAATGAGACTCAAACTGGTCTCAACCCCCTCTCTAATAGAAATAGTTTTCCTCCTTGAACTTGATGTTTTAGTAGTACTTACAGGTCAGAGATAAGTCATTTTCACACCAGTAAACATGCTCCTAAAATTCTGTCCACTAATTAAGTACCTGCTCTTGTGGAGGATTAGTGTCTTATTCAAAGAACTGAAATAAGCACATACAGATTGCAAAGTAGCAAGGAAACTATCCAAAGACAAGCAGCGGTACAGACCACTTATCAGAAAGACACTCACTCTTGACAGTGGGGCACGTGAAAGTACCCAAGGGCCCCGATTATTGTTTGGGATTTCCTTGTATGTCTAAAAGGGCTTGTTACTAAAGGGTATAATTTGTGTGGTTTTCTTCTTTTAAAAAAATTATTAGCCGGGCACGGGGGCCAATGCCTTTAATCCCAGCACTCGGGAGGAAGAGGCAGGCGGATCTCTGTGAGTTCAAGGCCAGCCTGGTCTACATAGTGAGTTCCAGGACAGCTGGAGCTACAGGGAGACCTTGTCTCAAAAAGACCAATATATATATATATATAATTTTTATGTGTATGAGTGTATTGCCTGCGTGTGTGTAATTGCACTCATGTCATGCAATGCCACAGAAGTCAGAAGAGGGTATCTCTGGAACTCCAGTTATGGGCAGTTGTTAGC